ATGCATGTGATTGTTACATAAATTCTCCTTGTTAGCACCTCTGGAAATGAATAGAGAACGGTATGGAGAATATGCATACTGATGTTAGGCATAAAGGGTAAAAAAAAGGGAGTAGGAAATTATTTGATGGAGTCAGTTTTTGTGTAAACTCAAGAATAGTCATTTTCCACTCTCTAAAGAAACTGTGTGATCTTCTTTGCCTTTTCCAAAGAGAGTGAGATTGCCGTGCTAAGTAGAAATTTAAAATACTTCTCTCTGTTATTTTGTCACATTGAAATACTCTTTTATGGATTATTTCTGTTTTTCTTCAGATGAAAGCACAAGTGGATCCCTCAATTGGTATGAACAGTACTTCATAGCTATCATGTAGTTACAGAATTTATAAGTAGCATGTGAAACGAGCTAAAAGCATCTTAGATGTGTTACAAAATTGTGATTGTGGTTTTGAGGAAAATGTAGGTGGGCAATTTCTAATAGATTGTAATTATGACAAGAATGAAAAACTAGCAGCAAATCGAGGGCTGGTGTTTACTTTTTTTGTCTTTTTTCTGAATCCAATTTTGCAAAAAAGCAAGTTTATTATTATTATAATTTTATTATTATTATTATTATTATTATTACAATATTACAAAAACTATGCACTGCCTGCAGTTAGCAAAGGCTAGTTGAGGCAATGAATTGTAAAGCAACGAATTGTATGAATAATGGCAGATTTGAGGAGAGATGTTTGTTACTCACAGATTTTGTTGTCACACAGGGCAAGTGACATCAAGCTCTGCTGGTCAGAGTGTCAGCCCAGTATTCCTTAAACAGGTTAGTGTTATAATTGTCAGGATGAACAAAAACATACAGTGTGGGTTAGTGGGTATCATAAAAGTATGCATATTATACAGGTGCAGTATTAGCACAAGAGGTACATGCAGTGGTTAAACATGGTTAAAAGCTTCTCGAGTTACTACTTCCTACAAGTTTATTGACATTAGAGAAGGTTCACATTTTTGGTGGACAACTAAGTTGAAATTGTAAACTGGCCACCGTAAAGAGTTAAAAAGCTGATGTTTTGAGCGTTAGCCCTTTGCCATTTGCTCTGATGAAGTGCTAACATTCGGAACGTCAGCTTTTTAACTCTTTATGGTGGCCAATTTACCATTTCAACGTAGTTGATATTACCAAATGACCTTGTTACCCCCACTGATGCAGAACCGCAGTTTCTTTAGAAACTTGCCCCCTTCATTCACTAGACAAATCAGCTGTATATAGACATCTATCAATTTGCATGTATATCATTCTTTAACAATAAAGAAAATTATTTTTTTGTCCAGAATATTTCTTCAGTCTGGAATATTTCTTTAGATCTATAATGTACATAACAGATTGATTGGTATAGCGGTAGTTGTTAGATCTGAAGCGAGGTTTTGTAGCAGGAAGTATCTGGGATACTATGGGGCCTGTTTGGTTGTAGGAGTGCTTTATTGAAAAATGATATTGGGAAATCACTGTATGAAAGCCATAGGCATTGGTGCAAGCTGGGCCAGTAGAAGCTGCACAACTTAGCATACAGCACAGCACTTTGAAAATGCAAGAATACAGGAAGAAGGAAGGAAGGAAGGAAAAGTGTTTTTCGTGTGATTAAATGCTTATTTACTTAGATTGGGTGAGACAGAAGGTCATGACTGGTAGACCTTGATTCATGTTGTCTCTATTGTTTGTTATGGAGCCCAATATTTTACTATCTGGCACTCTTTCCTGGTCGGTATGTCCATAGTATTGCTGCTCCTCCCATACCAGATTCTAGTAAACCTTGTTTCTTATGTTGCTCATGTTAACATATCTTGAAACAAATTCTTTTAAGGGTACTGGTGCTGTGCAAGTTACTTCCATGCCCAATGGCACAGGTCCCTCCCCACCCCCATCAGGTGGAACAGTCAAAACCTACCCCATGAATTTTGTTATCAAGGGTAACTCAGCAACCCAGGGCACATCTACATCAGTCACGGGAGTAACTGCAACACCTGCCAATTTAAACAAAGGAAAGAATTTGATATTTAATAACATGGGATCCATGCATCAGTCACAGTTTATAGTGCAGCCATCTTCACCCATGAGTCCAAATATGCATCAGAGAGGTAAGTCACAGCTTACTTTTATTACTCTATAGAGGGCTTCCCCAGTAACTATTTCACTCCAAATAGTAATCATTAGTATAATTATACTAAAACAGTGGATAGTGTTGAAGGCACACTCTGATTGGCTTGTCAAACTCCGAATATTCTTTGCTATTTACCTTTAAGCAACTCGGAAAAAAATGGCGTCCCAGTTTACATCCGTGACAAGCGAAGAAATCACTTAAATTAACGACAAAGCAGCCCCTGAAAACACAAGAAAGCGACTAAATTTGGTTGGGCCGTGTTTAAGTTTTTAACCCGGAATTTATAGAAAAAATGAAAAAATGGCGTCCCAGGTTGCATCCGTGACAAGCGAAGAAATCACTTAAATTAACGACAAAGCAGCCCCTGAAAACACAAGAAAGCGACTTAATTTGGTTGGGCCGTGTTTAAGTTTTTAACCCGGAATTTATAGATAAAAACCAATGAGAAAGGTTTTGTTTACAAACGAAAATTAATCTTGCATAACCTCACTTGTTCACTTCTACGCATGAAAATGTTGGAATCGTTGCTGGAATGTATGAATTAAAATCAATTTTTGGTGGTGTATATTATTTCACTGTTTTAGTATAATTATACTAAAACAACTTTTCACCTCAGTGTTGGTGGTTAGCGGTGGATATTTACCTCGCTGCTTTGCGGCTTGGTACATATCCACCACTAACCACCTTGACTTCGGTGAATAGTTGTTAACTAGTAATACTCCTTACTGTCTGCCATAAATTCTCATGATGTTACGGTAGTTTGGAGAATTGCAATGGGATCAAGCTATAATCCTCCAATTGATATTTTTCTTTATTCTCGTAACTTGTTTACTTGATATTGTACAGCTGAACCTCAATTATTTGGACTCATTGGGACTAGACGAAATAGTCTGAATAATTGAGGGTCTGTATAATCAATAATTTGAATATTAATGAGGCATAGAAGGCTTTATGGAGTTATTCATTATGTGCAACTTCCAGCAATTTTCGCTTCACTCCTTTGCTGGTCTCTAAGTTGTGGGCAAACTTCATGACCTTTTTGTTTGTTCTTGCAAATATCAGATATGTGCTATCCACTAATGCCATATTCAGCTGACATTTTGGTTCCTTTCTCTAATTACAAAATTATCGACTGTTCATATTTTTATCAAAAGTACAGATTGCTTACACTTCAAGGACATGGTGATCTTGGACAAACATTCATGATGCGGTGTATCCTGGTTATCTTGCTTACCATGCTGAATGAGTGACATGTGCGAGCGCTGTTTTTGCTTTTTCAAAGGGAAACAAACTCGTGCTGTAGTTCAAAACGTTTATGGCTACAGATCTTGATCACGACTGATAAAATAATATTCATGACAAAAATTAATTGGGACCAGAGTAAAAGTCGAGATAATTGAGAAACCCAGAGGTCTAGATGATGGAGGTTCAATTGTACCGATATTGTAAGGAGAAATTCTGTCTTGGTCTCTAGTAGGAGACAAAAAGTTAAGTACAGTACTACCCTAAAATAAGCACACACACACAAAAAAAAAAAACAGAACATACCCTGGTGGTAAAATAATTTAATAAATGCCACATCATCTCAACTACACACAGCTGTATGGCAGTGTCTGATTCGCACTTGCAATGTGAAGTGTTACTGTAGCTCTAAAGGTTACAGATGTATAGTGACCTGTTTATTTTCGTACTAGTTGCCAGAGGAAACAAATCAAATTAAAAAACAAATACAGATTGTTTTTAATATAAAATAACATTTGAGAGTTCTACGATATGAAACTTACAATTCGTAAGGCATTCCATACATCTTATACATCTTTATGTGATCTCTGGTTGACCGTTATGTTCCATGTTGAATTCGTCGCGTCTTTAACTAAAAGTGGGAGGTTGGTCCCCAAACTCCCTGGGACAATGCTCTGGTACCAAAACTATTATACACTAAGTGCAAATCAGTGTCTTCTCCAAAGAAAAACAAGATAGTAGCTCTGTACCTAGACTTCAGCTCTTATTCTGAATCATGAGTTTATGGAATGATTCTAAGTGATGTTCTAGCCAATAAAACAAGTATGTGCATGTGTATTATCATGAAGATGACAATTTGTCATGTGTAGCATGGATATTATAATTTTTGTCACATTTACAAGTCTAAGTAACCTCTTTCTCTTAGGTAAAGTTGCAAATGCTCGCTCAGGATCTATACATAAGGGAATCCAAAAAGTGCCCTCCCCGTCATCACAAGCTAAAGTTGTGCAGTCACCTCCATCTCAACAACCAATCACGACACAGCAACAAAAGACAGTGGTTGTTACAAGTCCACAGGGAAACCAAACCAAAGTTTTTATCAATCATAACAATATTACAAGTTCACAACCAATTGTACAACTTACGCAACAGGTTGCACAGCAACAGATGACATTTCAGAAACAAATACAACAGCAGCAACAACAACAGCAACAACAACAACAGCAGCAGCAGCAGCATCTTCAGCAACAAAAACCACATATCAACCCGCAGTTCATCAAACAACATCCTATACAACCTCGCATAGCGCCTGCGCCACCATCACAGTCATTCATCTCACAACAGCCCTTAACGGGTCAGAAAATCATTGTTAAAGTTACAGAACAACTCAAGAGTCCACCAAGCACAGTGTTTGCAACTACAGAACCTCATCAAAACATGCAGCACACGGTCTGCCAAAAACCACAGTCAAATGTTGTGTGATAAGTCAATTTATATTATATTATTTCAAAACTTGGATGAAGTGAATGTGAAAGGATCATAAAATTAAGAACCTCTACAGGTCGGTGTTCTGCCTCTCTTTTTTTGCTACCACAGAATTAACCTGTGCCAGGCTCTCAATGAAGATGAATGATCAGGCCAAAGAAAGTTGAAGGGTCTGGGAAGCAGTGACATGGAAGAAGGCATTCCTCCTATCCCACCCTCTACTTAGTCTTCCTCATTTTTTCCTTCTGTTTGCTGTGCTTTTTTGTTAATTTCCATAAACTGACTGCAAGCTACTGCAGTTATGGTCAAATACCCAAAAAAACCAGGGAGTTTTATATGGTGTTCATGGAACAAAATCAGGTCATTTTACCAGGTGTTCATTCAGAGACCCTTACAATTGTGTCTTTTGTATAATGGTGGATGAAATGAGTAGTTGTTGGAATTCCGTGGTCATTAGTATGATCCTATGACCTTTTCCAGCAGATTATGTAAGTTTTTGTGAAAACTAGTTGTGTTTTAGTGAAAAAGAAAGAAAACATACGTTCCAGAGTGTCAAAAAAATGATATTTATAAATTCAAGTGTTGTAACATAGTATGTTTCTCTGGGAAATGTGTTATTTAAAGAGTTTATTCCATTACATTGTTAGCTAGATAGGGTTAAAATTCAAATTTATCAAGAAACACTAAGTCAGAGTAATTTCTAGTAACAACCTTTCAAACTCAAATGAGCTTGATTTCACAATGTAGTCATAAAGATGCATAATTAGTTGCACCCCTTTCCAAAGCCATTTTTAAGAAGTGAATAGCAGTTTTTATAATACTGAATAATCTTAGTACACTTGAAGATGCAATGGTTGGATGCTTCACTGTGCTTTGCCGTGAAGGCAACTGATCATCAAACCAAAAGCTATCATAAAATTATGAATATGAAATAATCTTCAGTGGTTAAAAGTTTGGTTGCTGTATCTCTGGGAACTATGAGATCCTCTGGCTTGCCATGAATTTTATTACATTGTGTGTTGCTACTTTTCCTTGTCGTTTCTCTGGAATTTCTATTTGATAATCTGACCATATTTTTGTGCTGTGATCCTTTGGGTTTTTAACTGACTAATGCACTAGGTGTCCAGAGCCAAGTTCACTTCTTTCTTGTTACAAAGTTCGGTTATTTTTAATTACTGAACAATTATTCACTGAAGTGGAGGTGGCTAGGGGTGGACATTTACCAAGCCACAAAGTGGGGAGGTAAATGTTTAGCACCAGCCACTGACACAGCCGTGAATAGTTGGTTTTTTAAGTATATACTAAAACAGTGAGTTGATATTGCACAAAAAGATGTTTTAAACTCATTTGGTCCTGCAACAACTGCAATATTTTTTGAAGCCAAAATCCCAAGCAAGTTGCTCAGAGATAAATAGCAAAGGGTATGCAGAGTTTGAGAAGCCAATCAGAGTGCACTGTCAGTGCTATTCACTGTTTTTGTAGATAACATTAATTATCTCTTGTACTGAACCAGTATTTTAAAAAATAATCTTGACTTCTTGTAAACCTGAGAAGCTAACCAACATTTTTGTGACTGTTACAATCACATCAGTTGTTAAAACTAGTGAAAGTCCTCAGCATACCTCTCCTAAACTGAACTCTAAGTTACATTTTAACTTAAAATCTTTGACTTAAAGTTCACCATAAGCATGATACATATGATTTGAAAGAAGTGGTATTTCTTACTATTTCCTTTGATTTTTGGTGGCTGTCTATTAATCAAATTCATAGCTAACAAACAGATGTCTTTTGATTATAATAGCTGAATGTTTTGTGTTTTCTGTTAAACATCAATGGCTACAGTTGTAGTAAGCAATCTATATCTATTTCAGCTGTAATGAAAACTTTCCTTTATCTTTTTGATGCTAGCTATTTGCAGTAGGACATTAATTTATTTTAGTTCAAATTTTCCAGAGTTGCATTTCATATATTGTGTATTTGTACATGGACCATAGAAGAGCTTCTGATGCAAAACTATATTTTGTGGGGAAATAAGAAATTATATAAGTTATAACACCAAGAATCATCCTTAAAAAATGACAGGTTTTCATATACATAAAGATCTTTTGGTTTAGGGAAGATCTTGATGGCTGTATCTCATGAGTGAAGTAGCATGGGAGATAGCTGGAATCCAAGCTGAAGACTATGTACTAGTTATGTACCAGTAGTTGTGAAGAATTGAAATTGTTTATGGGGACAACTTTTAGATTATCACCACATATGACCTTGATATTGTATTCTGTGCAAAAATATTAGGATCAGTGTTGGTATCTGAGCAACTGTGCACCTACTCCTCCCATAATGCAACATTAATAACCCTAACTTGGTATCAGTGGACGGTTGTTGTGTTAGCCGTAGGGAAGGGGTGTGTGTGCAGCCACTTAAATACATTTACTGATCCAACCACTGATTGACAGTCCTTATATGAAGACACTCAGCGTATTAGCGGAAGGTCCTACGAGATATCAGGTAAATCTGATCCACTATTTTATAGAAAATCCTTCTGGAAAGTTTACATTGTTTCATCTTCTTTGTGTACATGATTATATTCTGTTGAGGTGATATTTAATGCAAGCTGTTTTTACTCTTTAGAAGTGTTAGGTTTGTCTGGTACAAGCTTAACTTTCAACAAACACTTAAAAATCCAAACAGTGTTCACTATTTTTTTTTTTTTTTCTTTTTTAAAATGTTACCATATTTTTTGAAGAGTAACCTGGGATTTGAAAACATTTTATAGTGTGGCCTGTCCATCCCTAGTAAATAGCCAAGACATGCATCAACCACTTTATGCAATATCAGCTTTAACCCACACAGTCTCAACATAAATGGACTAATTCTTGCAGCCTTTAAGAGACAGTTGTGACAAGTTAGGTATGAGAATGTAACAAGGTATCAACCAGGTTTCTGTCAATGACTTTTCTTTATTTTAATTACTTGCCAGCTCATGAATGCAGGGCTCTCCTTTAGAGAACAGGGCTCAACACTAACTTTTCAACTGACTAGACACTTGGTTTGTGACAATTTAGATGTTTTGACAATTTCAGTTTGTTTGCTAGCAAAACTTGTTGGTGGAAATCGAAAACCACCAGCCAAAACTGAATTTCTACTTGTCTGTGGCTAGTGGGCTACCGTTAGTGTTAAGCCCTGGGAGAAGTTAGCTTTTAACGTCAGTTGGGACTACCAGAGTTAAATTAAGATTTGAAATGGTTCCTCAGTGGAATGAGTGTTGAGGATATAAATATATACATTCAAGTGATGGTCTGTGTGCTGTTCTAATTAACAGTGAAATGATAATTATTATTATTATTATTATTATTATTATTGTAATTATGCAAAGTGAATGAGGCACATTAATTTTGTCTGAGACTTACACTAAATCAATTTTGTACCTAACTTTTGTAAATAAAGTATTTATATGTTCAGAGATCTATGCAAATTGCCCAAAGAGGTCTTGAGTGTGATTTAAGATGTTGTAATATCATACTTCGTAGCTTGCCATACTAATCGCAGCAACAGGACTCACTTGCGTCTCCTACAAGATCCAAACTTTGTAACTGGAGGTTTTGCTCAGGTACAAGTCCATCCCCTGTGGATTTGCTCCCATCAAAACCAGTTTGCTCCCAAATGAAAACAAACTACTTAGCCTTAATTATTAGGAAAGCTTGGTATTTCACCTGTTTCTTGTTCCCATCACATTTCGTTCTCGTCCAAAATATTCCTGGAAGCCAGGCTTATAAGGTAACTTTCTTAATTGGTCGGGTTGTCCTGAAACCCTAAGTGTGCTGCTTGAATATTTGATTTTGCTAAGTTTAGCAGGATGTGACTTACTCTTTGGTCTGGTCATGGAAAATGAGTGGGGGACGTTCCTTCGTTAGGCTTAGATGGGTGCGTACCGCTGTACAGTCAATAGTGGTTATTCGTTTAGAAGGTAAAACAGTTATGAAGTAATATCGTTCGTCACTCGATGGAATCGCGTCGCGATCCACATCGGTAGTATCAACATCGTTGAACAATGGATAATGTTCCATTTCCCGAGTATGCAGTTTTTCCATTCAGCGTCTTGAGCACTGTCTCTTTGGTCCACTATAGTCGACTATAGTCCGGATACCTTGGGTAGGGTGTGAACTTGGAGATGGGCAAACTACATGGGCAATACTGAAGATTTGTTTTTTTAGTATAATCCCAAATATAGGTCTCAATTCTTGATACGTGGCTTCTATGAATTGTCCCATTTGTTCTCCAAAATAGGATCGCTAAATGAACGGAGTTTTTTCTTGGCCCTTGAACTCCTAAGAGTGATCGGTATCTAATTTCTCCTTATGATGTCATTGCTGAATCACACATTAAGGTCAGGAGAATTAAGAAAATGATGAACAACTTAAGAAACTCTTGATTGTTAATCAAATTCTCCTTGTCAGCACCTTAGGAAATGTATAGAGAACAGTATGGAGAATATGCATACTGATGTTAGGGAGTAAAGGGTTAAGAGTTCCCCATTCCTTAGTTCCTACACTCGAAGAGACAGGCTCCGAGGCTTTCTACCTTCGTTGTCTGTGCAAAGTTTAAGAAGGGTTTACTAAAGTGACGTCGTGTGTAACATGTGGGTCAAGGGATTTAGTGGGGCAGACTCCTAAGGAAAAAGGCCAGATCCCGCTTACTGAAGTTTTGGAGCCAAAAACTGGGATATTATAGTCTTGTTTGCTGGTGAGGTGGTCTCGTGATGGCGACTTGGTGGGTGGCGACATCACTTGGTCGCGAGGTGACCTTCGTCATACGTGGTTCATTGATGACGGTTTGTGATTAATTGTACCATCTCACTAGCCCAAGGAGGGTTTCACAGTACAAAAAAAAAATAAAAAAAGTAAGACGAATGATAATCATACCTCGCTGAGTAAACCCCTCTTTAATATCCATCCTTCAACTCACAGGATTTCAATGTTTTCAATCATGTCTGCAACGATGGACATTGTTTCTCAAATTTGACACAAATCGAAGGAAACTAATCCTACTCTTGGAAAAAATACATGAAAGCTGATAAAAAAAACAAAATTTAAAATTAAAGAACGCTGAAAAAATAAAACAAAAAATAAAACAAGGCTTAAACGCGCACATTTCCTCTCTCAAATTCATAAACTGATTCATGTAGAAAAAAGCATCGCTGCACACTGAAGACGACTACCAGCTTGTCACGCAACGCTCCCCTTAAACTGGAAGTTCTGTTGCTCTGACCCCTAAATTAATACATCGAGACTTGAATTATTTTTTCAAATATTTATTGCAATCATTACTTTATGCTTCCAATTACATTCGCTATCATGTATTCTAAAAGTTATCCTTTTCTAAAGTTTGTACAGCTAAAAATATTAGAAATTCTTTTCTTTGAAAGAAATCTAACTTTTATGACTTAAATGTTTTTATTATACATTACTATTCAATTTTGAATTTACGTTACACTGCATAATTTGCATTTGTTTTTATTCGTTCTTATGTTCGTCCCCTTTCGTTCGTTCCCTCTCTTCTCTCGTTCAACAATCGAGAGCTCGTTCGTTTCTCGATCGCCTATTTTTAGCATTGATTGCCGGTTCTTTGCGTGTCATGACTCTACTTGCAATATGCCAAACTTTAAAACTACCTTTGCAAAAAAAACGCAAACGGTAAAGTGGTCTTACAGGAGTTCCAACTGAAAGCTACAAAAACAATGCCTGTATCACACAGCCTTGAGTTCTGCTTTTATTTTTTCGAGGAGATCCATGACAGCATCTATTGTCTGCCCAATATCTTCCTTTATCAGCTCCGAGAATGATTTTCCGAACAAATGACCGCCAAACACTCCGACTAAAGCTCCGACGAGGCCTCCAAGGATTGGAACAGGAATCAAAACTTGGCCAACTATCATTCCTCCGACACTTCCGCCGATACGACTGAGAGCTAAAATCACATTGTCAACCACTTCTTCGATGAACTTCTCTCTTGAACTAACCAATACCCCATCTTCCCACTTCTTGTACTCCTTGTGAATGTTATAACCAGCCATGAGTGCCTCAACAACCGCGGTCGAGATGACCCCAACGCTGATTCCAACTTTCGAGAGAGCTTTTGGTACAGCCGAACCTCCAGCCACCGCAACGTCGTCCCAAATTTCTGCAACCACCTTCGGTAGCTGTTGTATTGCCTGCCATAGTGTTCTGGTCGTGGCATAGAATGTCTCACAAAAAGCCTTCCACGCTGGAGTCGCCTGCAAGCTTATGTTTAGATCACACAAACACCACATAACAAACGATTCACAGTTGTTGTTTATCGGATGATAGTCCTTCTCGCCCTCCCTTTTATGGGCCCTCGTAATCACTTCCTCTGTAGAGTACCGTCGCAGTTTCTGTGGCCATACAACTCTTTCTACTTCGACTCTCAACAGGTCCGTCTCCGGATCGACGTAACTCTCTGCGATCAAGTCTCCGTCGGGCAATGCCATTTCCTGAATCATCCCTAGCTGTTCGAGACATGAACCCGAGCCCAAGGAGGTGGGAAACTTTTGCTTCATGAAATTTCTCGGTGTGTTGTAATAATGAATGATCTTCGGCTTCCCGCTCATCTCGTCTTTTCCGCTGCAGAGAAAATGGTGCGCGTACTCTAACGAAGTCCCACGGTTTCTTGTCATCAAGAGGTGGTCGCCTGGTTTCATGTCAGAAAGTCGGAGGATCGGCTCCCTTGCTTGAAGTTGCCATTGAAGAAGCTCCTTTCGCTCTTCAGGTTTAAGTCCCAAGATGTCCTTCCAGATTGCTGAGGATTCGCTTAAAGCCATTCTTCTACAGCATCCAATGCATAGCAAGCCTTCAAATACTCTATTAAAAAGGACCACCGTTTATATATCCGTTTGGGTCCATAGCAAGGGGTTATCCCCTTTTTTTCATCTATAAAAATACAAGAAGGGACTTTCCCTTCTTGTATTTTTTATAGATATTTGTAAGAGCTAACCTTATTGGGTCGTTCTCATGCCAAATATTTAAAGCCCTCAAGCAAACCAGGAGGGGAACGGAAACGGCAGCGTGACAAAACAAACTGAAACCAATGTGCAGAACAATGACTCCGTACGAGCATTTCAAAACTTTGCACAACAATGCAAAATAACCAAGTGTTTCGCGGTCTGACCCGAGGAAAGTTATTTATGTTTCTGTGTCTGAAACTCAAAGAAGCGTTGTAATGTTACACTTGAGTGAAGTTCTGGCGCTGTTAGTTAAGGTAAACGCATGTGCATGACGCCATTAGCGAAAGTCTTAAGAAACATGAAAATTCACATTTTGGTGATATCATCCCGACTTCTCAAGGTCCCTGTATTGCATTTAGTCGACTATGTTTTACGGGTTAGAGGGGATATAAAGAGCGAACGATAACCGAAAGTTGAGTGTGGGTTCCATAGTACTGTTATTACCTATTTTCGCTACGAATTGGGGCTCGCTTTAATTCAGACCGAAATAAGGGAAGGATGGTAAGTGCTTCCTAGCAAGAGATGCTTGACCAAGGTGGGGAATTTAATGAACTGTGCAGTTGTCCTTATTCTCCCGCAGGGTCTGATGGTACTGTGGTGTTGGCTTGTAGGGCAAATCCATATTGCAAAAATGTTAAGGGACAGAAGGATAGGGCATTTCTTTGGCATTTTGTCTTGGATGGTGGGCGTTTATGCTTAAGAAAGAAAGATTATGATGGTCGAGGTTGATCTTAGTGGACAGCGATATCGTTTTGACCCTTCATGCCACGCATCCTCTTCCCAGAGCTTATTGTGTGACCAACCTAACCGAAGGTTGTTGTTAATGATATCGATTATATCATACAATCTACTAATAAAGTACAGCCAATAGAGATAAATTTGCCTTTTTAACAATACTCCACGACTTCTTTCGATATGTTTTACAAGAAATAGTTTCCTATCGGTTTCAGTAATGAAAACTTTTCGTTAGCCTTTGCAGAACAAAGCCTGAGCTCGACATTACAATCGATGATTTTCAATTTGTGACAATTTGCACTAGATAAAAAATTGACTCAAGATCATTTTCGTTATATAGTGTATATGTTCTAACTTTCCCACGACAAGAGTATTCCACCACTTTACATTCTCTAAGAGTTTCTCGACGAGAAGTGTTATTTTACTTGATACGGTACGCTGTACTTGACAAATGGTAAACACCACAGCGTACACTATTGAGTTATGGATGGACGCGGGAGGTTGCTAAGCACGAAAGAAGCGTAAGAGTCGCTCGAGGCGATAGCCGAATAGTCTATCATAACTGAAAACTTTTCTGTCAGGTAAACAAAATCTTAGAGGCCCTTTTAATTTTATTGTCTCAGATCACACCAGCCCAAGGAGGGTTTCACGATCAAAAAGGGAAAAAATGAACAAGACAAACGGTAATCATAAGTCACTGAGCAAACCCCTCCGATTATTTTCTGTCTCAATGTTTCCTGTATATGTATGTAGCCAAAGCAAAGAAGGAATTTGTTTCTTAGTTCGAAGCAGACGTCGGAAGAAATTGATGAATTCGTGGAGAAAAATTCATAAACGCTGAAAAAAACAAATTTTTAAACCGCATACATTGCATTCAGGTTGTTGTATATGAGCCTCTATCAGCTCATAGAGTGAACCATGCCAATGAGAAAACTAACGTTCCGCGCGAATTCTTGCCCGGTTCGTCACGCAACGCTCCCTTTAAACTTGAAGTTCCATCGCTCTGAACCGTAAAATAATAATCAAGACTTCAATTATTCAACGCGATGTTTATTTCTATTATTTCTTTATACTTTTACAATCAATTTCTTTTTTTCTTTTCAGACTTTAAAAATAGTTAACAATATATGCGAAATCCTACTTTGACAGAAATCTAAGTTTTGGGAGAGATCAGATGTCTTTCGGTACCGTTAAGTATTGACTGAATTTAAATTTGCTTTACCCTGCGCTTTTTACGTGCATTTTGATAAGTTCGTACTTCCGTCACATTGTCGCATCAGTTAGTCCTTTCGTTTCTCCACTCGTTCTTTCGTTTGTTCGTTTCTTCGATCGCCTGTTTTTGGCATCGGTTGTCGGTTCCTTTACATACCACTCCACGTCTTGAAACTACCTTTACGAAAAACGCTAAAGAGATAGCAGTATGACAAAAATTTCAGCTGAAGGCAGCAATATAACAAAGCGTACATTACACTACGCTGAGCTGCTTACCTATCGATGATTAGGTGGAGAACAAGACTGTATCTTAACCGTCTTTCATGTTAGAGTGAAACTGTGTATTTTTTATGTTTTACTCGAATTTATGGGGGTGAGCTTTAAGTTTTGCCTTTATTTCATCGAGGTTATCTATGAGTGCGTCGATACACTGCACCAAAGCTCCCTTTACATTTTTTTTCGCTAAGACCAATTTCCCAACCAAATGACCGCGGAAAACTCCGACCAAAGCTCCATCGAGGGCACCAACGACTGGAACAGGACTCACAATTTGGCCTACGATCATCCCAGCGATACTTCCACCTGCACGACAAATAACCAAAATTACTTTGTCAACCACTTCCGCGATGAACTCCTTTCTTGTTTGAACTATTTTTCCACTTTTCCATTTCTTATACTCTGTATGAATGTCCAAAATTGCCATAATAGTCTCGACAACCACAGTCGAATTACCCGAAAGAGGATTCCGCCTTTCAAAAGCGCATTCCGCAAACCTGCACGTACTCCGGCCGCTGCAACGACGTCCCAAATTTCAACACCCACCTTCGGTAGTTGTTGAAACCCTTGCCAAAATGTTCTTATTGCGGCACTACCTGTCTCACAAATGGCTTTATTCGCTGGAGTCACCTGCAAGCTGATGTTTAGATCACACAAACACCACATAACAAACGATTCACAGTTGCTCTTCATCGGATGGTAGTACCCTCGCTTAATCTATCTCAAGCCCTTGCAATCTCCTCTTCTGTGGAGTGTCGTCGCAGTTCCTCTGGCAAAACAACCGTTTCTACTTCGACTCCCAACAGGTCCGTCTCTGAATTGACATCGCTCTCTGTGATCAAGTCTCCATCGGGCCAAGTTACCTCCTAGCTCTTCGAGACATGAACCCAAGCCCAGGGAGGTGGGCAACATTTGCTTCATGGTACTTTCCGGTGTGTTGTAATAATGAATGATCTACGGCTTCCCGCCCAGCTCGTCTGCTCCAATGCAGTAAAAATGGTGCGCGTACTCTAACGAAGTACCTCGGTTACTTGTCATCACAAGATGGTCGCCTGGTTTCATGTTTGAAAGTCGGTGGATCGGCTCCCTTGCTTGAAGGTACCATCGAAGAAATTTCTTTCGCTCTTCAGCTTTAAGTCTTAAGATTTCCTTCCAATCTGCAGAGGATATGCTTGAAGCCATTTTAATATCTACAGCATCCAGTGTATAGCAAGCTTTCAACTTCTCTACTGGAAAGGATCAGCAAGGGACTTAAATGTACCTTCTGGTTTCCATAACAAGAGATTTTTCCCTTCTTTATTTTCCTAAAAATAGCGCAAAGGACTTTCCTTTTTCTTTTATTTATAGGTATTTGTATGAGCTAAGCTTATTTGAATTAATGTTCTCATTGGCTAGCTCGAGAAAAGACGTTGTACGCAAAATAATTCAAGCCCTTAAGCGAACCACAAGGGGTACGGAAACGGGAGCATAACGAACCAAAAAATCTAATTTGCGTAAGAATGACTCAGTAAGTGCGTTCCAAAACTTTGCACAACAATGCGAAATCACCAAAATATTTACGTTTCTGTTTGGAACTTGGTCTTTCGAGATATTGTGCTGCTAAAAATAGCATATTATTCTACTAGCGTTGCACGATTTCTATCCATATTATGCTACTCCGTCTTTTTCTTTGAGTTGGCTTTTCAAAAAAGACACAAAAAAAGACCAAGTTATATATTTATTATTATTGTTAGTAAAATACACACTTGCTCTGATAAAACTCAACTAATTACTACACTTGATTCCAGACTGGAAGCGGCGACTTAGTGTGACTGAATGTACGATAGACGGTAGCTTAGCCCTTACTATATTGTAACATCGCACAGGTCTTGTATCTATTTATCGTTTGCTATCGGGTGGCTGTTCCGCTTCTTGTATCTGTAAGCTGCTCGACGCCATTTGGTTTCCTGTGAAGGCGCGAAATGTGACCGACGCAATTGTTGTGTTACTTCCGGTCAGTCCTTTAGATGGCGAATGAGGCAGTATTGCATTAACCAAGACATTGCAACTTCCGGTCAGTCCTTTA